GCGATGTTCCTCACGATCCCGAGCGAAGATCCCGCGGAAGAGGAAACCTTTCGGCAAGAAATGCGCGAGATCGCCGCGAAGGTTGAGGAGCTGAAGATGAAGGGGAACGACGCGTTCAAGAGGGGCGAATACAAGACTGCCTACGTGCTGTATACTGCATGCTTGTCCCTCCGCCACCACGATTCGAAGAAGAACCTGCTTTACCACTTGAACAGAGCCGCCGTGGCATTGAGTGAGTGAACGATTCCTTTTCTTTCCGTATTTCGAATCAGTGCTCCGGTTGAATTGGCCACTGCGTGGTGGAAGAGTTGAAGATGTATGATGAGGCAGCGAAAGACGCCTCTGAAACGATCATGAAAGGCGATAAACTCAAACCGGGGCAACTGGCTAAAGCGTACTTCCGTCGCGGCCAAGCCATGTTCTTCTTGGGAGACTGGACCAAGGCAGAAGACGATTACACTAAAGCCTTGACGTGCCAGCCCGGCGAGCCCACCGTCGTCGAACAAGTTGCAGAAATCAAACGAATGCGTGGTCTGTCGACCGAGGAGCAGACCGCTTGGAAGACAGCGCAGACTTTGCATGCTGCGACGCTGGAAATGATTTGTGAATCCGACGCAGAGCTCAGACGGCTGGTCGAGGAGGTGCTGGGCCACAGCATTGTGCGCAACTGGTCTTGTCTTGCTCTCCATTATTCTAGTTTAATTTGGTTGGACAGGCTGACTAGGAAAATTCACCTCGACCAAATCATGAAACATTCTTCTTGAACTGAAATCAGCACACCGACGAAATTCTTCTTGGAGTCGTGGCCAGCCGCAGTTTTGGACGCTGTTTACCGTTTTTGCAGACAAAGGTTCAACAGCCTGTTCTCCCGTGAGGATAGTGCATAATTATTCATAAAATCTGCCAGCAAAGAATGCGACGTGCTCAGTGCTCAGTGCTCAGCGCTCTGCCTCAAGTTATATTCTTGAGTTCCATACCGTTTGTTGATCCATGTGCAATATGCTATTCTGTTTTGAAAATAACCCCCCCGGTGCGCAAGCAAGAAGCTCGGGAACTTGTCACAGGCTCGATTCGCACTTGAATGCATCTGGTTATTCTCCACCAGAAATTGAATATCGCCTCAACTGAGCCTGGGTCACGGGCAACGATAGCTTGGTAGTAACTCTCACGGCGTCGACCCAGGTCGACCCACTTCCGCTCCGAATCCGCTCCCAACCAAAAACTCACGCCTCTCAAAATCCGAGAAATAATATTCCATTTTCACAACACATGCGCAATATATTCTAGGGTACGTGGTACACGAAGACATTTTGTCTGTCTGTTCTTTCGGTTGAGTTGAGAGTAAAAGTAAAAGTAAGGGAGAGTAAGGGAGGGAGGGATAATAAGAGATCATAAGATAAGAGTCGTGAGTAAGAGTAGAGCGTAGTGGAACACCGTAGTCATAGTCATTAGAGTAAGGAAAGGGACGGGCGCATAGCACGAGCGAGGGCAAGGAGGACGGGACGAGGACGACATAAGCGAGGAACGGGAACGAGGATAAAAAAACGCGTGAGGACAGACGGACGGACAGACGATGAAGTAGGACTGAAAGGATAGTAGCATGCGACCGGGACGGACAAGGCGCAAACCTATGTCATCCCGAAGCCCTGCAACGCCTCCAACCGCTCCTCCAGCCCCCTCCCTAGCCCCTCCCTCTCCCACTCGCCCCCCACGTCGTCCATCATGCGATCCTCGTCCCCTCCCCCGAATCCAAAGTTGCGCAACGACGGTGCCCCGCTCCCGCCGTATGCGCTCGCGCCGACACTCGACGTCGAGGCGGGGTCCGTAATGGTGACGCCGGGAATATGCGAGGGAGACGTCGACGGTGCTGTCAGTGCGGACAAGGGTTGCGTCGCGGTGGGCGTAGAGGAGAGCAGGTCCGTGTACGACACGAACGAGAGGCGTTTGTTTGCTTGCGACGTGGTCCCCCCGGGCACGCTCGACACGGGCGTCGTCGGGTTAACGTCGAACTGGCGCGCGGTCGGCGGGGCGGAGGACGGCGACGCAGGTGCGGACGGCGCGACGTGCTGCTGCTGCGTGTTCGCGCCCGGGGGATGTTCAGCAGGAGCGAGTTCCGGTTCGCGCTCCGGGGGCTCGGACTCGGGCTGCGGCTGCGGAAGCTCCCGATGGGCGACGCGAAGCCACTGCTCCGGCTTCGTACCGTCCCCGTGCTCATTCCCTGGTCGAGCAGCAGACCGCCCGAGGACGCGGGTGCGGGGGCAATAACGGCAATGGAGTCGCCATCCTCGGACGTCATGGACGTGAGGATAGACGCGGCGCTATCGAGCACGGAGGGCACGCTCTGGTCGAGCATCTCGGTGTTCTTGGAGCGCGCGGTGCGGTGCGGGTCTTTCTTGGCGTTTGCATGGGGCGAGACGGGCGAGATGTGGATGGGCTCGATGTCGCGCTCGAATATTGCGGAGGACGAGGAGTGGCTGGAGGAAAGAATGTCGGTTAGCACACGGAGGTTCATTGGAAGAAAGAGAAGAAAGAGTGTGAGACTGAAAAATGCGGGCGCCCTTTGTATAGGTCCGCAGATGCAAGGAACAACGACATTCGGAGGTTCATTGCAAACGACGGAAATGAAAAGAGCCGGCCCCATTTGTATGGGTCCGCCACTGGTGCAAGAAACAACATTCGCATGTTCATTATCCGTGAGATGGAAAAGACCCGGGCGCCATTTGCATGGTCCGCGACTGCGAGATGGAACCAGAACGGCCTATGAAAGCCAAGAAGCATGTTCCGCGCAAAGAATGCTCCATTCCCAACTTCCCGAAAGCAATTTCGGCCAACCCGCGCGTCGCATCCCAACGAGTAGCGTCGGGGGCCCACGCAAATACTCCCTGAATAAGTTTGGGAACTGCTTCGGGAGCGCCGGAAGCAATTAGTTTCTGGGCTTCCCGAAACCTGCCGGTCCGAAACTCGATGTTTCGACAGGGTGCGTCCGTGGCTGCGAGATGGAACAAGAATGGCCGGCAAAAGCCCAGCAGCATGGCCCGCGCAAGGAAGACTCCAGCCTTGGCGAGACCAATGACGAGTGTTGTTCCGAAGTCCGAGCTTGTCGCTTTGCGCGAGACATAGGAAACGACCCCGGGCGCCGTGAGTGGAGTACAGCGGAATAACCGGATGATGCTCCGCCCAACCCGAGCGTCGCCTCGAAGCATAGTGTGCGCGAGGAATGCTGCTCCAACTCCGGACCGACGACGAGTGTTGCCAGGCTCCGGAGTCCGATCTTGTCGCCTCGCCCACCGTGCGCGACATGGAAAACAAAGACCCCCGAGTGGGACATAGCACGGAATAACCCGTAAAAGCCGAGTCCGAGGAATGTTCCAACTCGACCAATGACGAGTGATGCTCCGAAGTCCGCCCTCGTCGCTCATGGACAAGCGAGATACGCGGATTGCGGACGCGGGCCACAGAAGAGAGAGACTAGCTGACTTACACAGAAGTAGGACTCGACGGTATTGACGAGGGTGATTTGGAGCCCTTTCGGACCGTGAGGTGTTGAGAAGTGCGGCGGCTATCGAGCGCCAAAACGGTGGCAGAAGTCATATGGCGAAGGTCAATAGGCTGTACATTCGGGGAAGACCTCGTAGAAGACCGCGCTGTGAAGCAAAGTGTATATATCAGTATAGATGCGCGAGAAATGCAAGAAATGCAAAGGACTTACGCAGAGCTACTTCGACAGACATGGTGGTAGAGGAAAAGGTGTGTGGAGCAGACTATTGGTTGCTGCGCGGAATGGTGAAACGTGAAACGGACACGGCGAGCGTGAAATCGTAGGTTTGTTTGGCTACTCGACGACGTCCAAACAACCCTCGTCGTCTCTTTTTGGGATGATCGACGTTCATGAGGTAACATGGTAACTCCGCAGTCTATTTCTTTGCCAACAAGTCGCATTTCAGCAGAGACAATCTTAATTTCTACCCATGGACTCTGTCGTGAGGGATTAACTGAACCGCACCGCCCGCGCGTCCAACGCGCATCATCAATTCATGTGGCCACCATATGTTCTGCACTTGATATACGGGAACAGCCTGCCGTTCACAGCTTTCATCACGGCGGTATGGTGGGGAAGATCTCCCAACTTTGCGCGGGAGCCGAACATGGTGAGTCCGCGGCTCATTTCGAGTCTGTTCATCCTATACATATTGAGTCTTGACAGACTGATGATATGATATAGGCGAGCGCAAAAATAGTAAGCATTAGACAGGCTGATAACTTTCATCTCAACCTTGACTGAAGATGATCAAGTAGAGATGGCATATCAGGCATGATTAGATTCGGACACTAGCCAACACTACTCGACATAAAAGGTCCATTTCAAGTTGAACCGAATAAAAACTTGAACATGAAGTCGAGTATTGTTGGCCTGTGCGATACTCGGCGCAAATAGGTTGCATTTACCCTTTCATGAGATTCAATCTGCAGCTAATTCAGTTGGCGGAAAGATTGAAACTAAATGCGGGACCCGAGGCTGGACTCTGCATGGCAAAACATAGTTCAATTTCAGCGTTCAGTGCACATAATACACACGGCAGCAGAGGCATCTATTTCTTGCCATGGGCTTGATCTTGACTCTCACTCCGGAAATCAAACATTGTTACAGATCGGGCCTGGCAAGTTGAACTGTTTGAAAAATCCCTCACACCCAGCTACAATAGGAATCTGAATTGTATTGAAGATTGGTTCATGCTCAAAAAGCTTAATGCTTCGGAACTCAATTAAATGCCCCATCCTGGATTATAGAGCTCTCGGTCGTGTGGATCCAACAAAATTAAAATTCACTGCGTCCCCCATTTTTTTCCGTGAACCCCGCTCCACGCGCTGGCTCCGGGCTCACCTCTACATCAACGCTCCTGCAACATTTGCTTCGCTGGAAAATATAAATGTAAACATGGAATTTTTTTCCTGGCGCATTTCTGCCTCATCATAGCTGCGCACAGAGAGAGGTCACCGGCGCATTAATGGGGTAGTGGTAACCTGGGTCGTTGCCATCGTCAGGTAATCTTTGCATATGATCTCGACCCGCCGGGGGTTCGATTCCCTCTTAATGCATCAGTTTTTGATTTGATTTCCGATTTTCCTGTTATTGGACGGCAAGTCTCGATCTTTTCGAAAATGCACACATTCCAGAAATCCTCTCGCAAATACTCCAGCAAGAAGATTTCCCCCCAGTGCCCACATCATCTTTCTTAGTCTTTACCCGTAATCTAATCTCTGGAGTGTTCGCAAGGATGTCATGGTGGTATGAGTCTTTTCGGCAGGGAATGGATGACGAGTACTACTACAGTTTGGCCTTAGCTTGCTCCATCGCCATCTGCTCCTTCAGAACACGCCTCAAAATTTTCCCGCTTGGATTCTTCGGAATGAGTGGAACAAACGCCACCCCACCGGCCAAATGTTTGTACTTGATTTTATTGTCCGCAACAAGCTGAAAGGCGAAAAGAAAATTTGATAAGCTCTCGCGTCCAAAGACCGAGTGGCGCAAGTGTACCTTGGAAATAGAGGTTTTGATACGTTCTGGATCGGTTTTGGCTTTGCTCGCAGCAACCTCCGTCAAAACCACGAACGCTCGAGGGACCTCACCACCTGGTTTTGTAAATATATATAGTTCGACCAGCGTGCAGTACGAAGGGCGCTCACTAAAGTCATCAGGCACCCCCATCACACACACATCAGAGACGTCGGGATGGTTTCTACGTGCAGGTTAATCAGACTTGGGCAAGCCGGAAAAAAGGGAACAGACAAAATGAGGCCTTCCAGTTCGGCAGGTGAAACTTGGAATGCTCGTACTTTGATGAGTTCCTGTGGACCAATGCTCAGGTGAAAACACCTGCCACAATCGAGTCGACGTACTTTCAGGCGACCAATGATGAACACTTCGCCTTGTTCGTTAATTTTCGCTTCGTCTCCCGTCCGTAACCATCTGCGAGTACCTATAAACGATCCAAGCCGCTGAAAATAAACCGAGAGACCCACCCATCAGGAGTAAACACCTCATCAGACCTAAGGATGAATAAAGCATATTGAAATGAGCGGTGGACCACTGCGCCGGGAGCTAAACCCTCACGCCTTCTTGTTCTTGTAATACCCAAGCGCCAACGAAGGTGATTTGATCAGCAACTCGCCAGGCTCGTTGTACCCCGCCAAACTGCCGTCATTTTGTATCAGCCGCGCTTGCATACCAGGCATGAGGTTCCCCGCACCTTGGGAAGGAACAAAAGGACGTCAGCTCCAGGAGACAAAATGGAGGTCAACTCACTGCCAGCAGTGAATGGCCGAGAAATCGGCGTCATAGTTATAGCCGCAGGAGCCTCAGTTGCACCTGACGAGTTGTATTAGCTGAGTGAGGTGCAAGGGTGTAGTTCTGACCGACCGTAAACCTGGGCGATTTTCGCCTGAGGGCACAGCTGGCTGAGCTGACCTTGAAGCTCGCTCGTCATGGGCGCGGCACCGCACTGCCGTTTGTCGTGGTTGAGCGAACAAGTTTGGAGAAGCTGGAGGTCTCACCGTAATGAATTTGATTTTGCTCAAGTCGTACTTTTTCACAACCGGACTCTGGGAAACTGATGAATGGGCTTTTAGATTGGAGCGAAACTAGTTACCTTGCACAGTGCAACCGCCATGGGCGGTACGAGCCTTCAGAAATGCATTTTGAATATTTCCTGAACGGAGAACAAAGCACCTACACGAGGTGCTGCATGCGGTAGCGAGCGATACTATCCAGCATTCCAATCAAGTTGAAGTTCGGGACGACAACGAGCGTGGTCTGCGGTGAGTAGTGAGTGCCTCAACTTGAGAGTCAAGTCCACAAGACCCACGTACCGCACAAAAGAGCATCCAGTGAAGCTGTGGATACCTTCTGAGCTCCTTTATTTCGTTTGACGACAGAAGTACGCACATTGAATACCATGCCGGCGATGTGAAAGAAAGGTAGAAGACCCAAAGCAACATCTCCAGGACGCAAAAGACTGCCTACATCCGGATTAAGGGCACTTAATTGGACCTACAGACCCTGCGCGTCAGCTATGTTTCTCAACTACTGCGCAAAGGCGTACATACCACATTAGAGATGATGGCGGAATGACTTATGGCCACCGCCTGGACATTCAATCAGAGTTGGGACAGGATCGAGGGCTCTATCGACGAACCTTTGGCTGACCAGTGGTCCCGGACGACAGGCACAGTACTGCAATTTTCGTTTTCCCCTCGCCAGGAAGCAGTTGCCTTGGCACAAATGTAGAGCCAGCGGAAATACTGGCGGAAATCAGGGTCGCGACTGAAGTCGCATCTTTGAGCGAGGGACTGTAATCAAGGCTTAAGACTCGGTCGGACGGGATCCCAGTAAGAGCTGCCGCTTTACGCGCCGTCTCAAAGCAACCGGAATGGGCTATAATCAATGTCGCCCCGCTCAGCTTGATGTGATACACCAGCTCAGCAGCGGTAGAATTGGGGTTTGTTCCGCTGAATTTCGTGGTATTTCAGCACAGCGCAGTTAAACGAAAACCACGTACGTGAATATGGCGCCGATGTATTGAGGAGCCCAGAAGGTAACAGGATAATCTAGCGGGGTAAAAGTAACAATTGGAGGAAGAATGATGTTATCATACCAATGTGATTTGGGCTGCAGACCAGAACTAAGAGTTGCGTTATTTAAGAAACGCTGGAGACTAAAGGCTCCACTGAGATCTCACCAACATCGTTCTCGCCTAATTCAGTTTCGTGGTCAGCATAAATATCCTGAAAATCTACCCAGACCATGCGGCTTACCTATCTTGTACTTCTCTCTCAGAGAGTGGGCCAAAGCCAGCGTTCGCTCACGAAGCTATATGGCTTCTGGTGAGAAACTATGCCAGTGAATTCGTACTGCACACCTCATTTAAAGAAACCTGGCGTCCGGTCGCGTCCTCAATTAAACACGGGAACGACCCTTGAGGGGGGCGTAGAGGGTGCGAGCAGTTTAACATGAATTCCGCGGTTGTGAGGTCGTTGGGAATCAGATGTGAGCCCAAAGGTGAGCCAAAAAATTCGCTCATTGTGCTTTGAACAGTACTGAAGTTCTCAGACGACGTGCAAGCTGTTGTGACAAGTATGAGGTTGTCAAAGAACCTACGCGAAAGGTCTTTGATAGATGATAGATCCTTGTATATATAGCGCCTATCAAGGCCATACATGCCGTTGACATTAATACATATGGAGTGGAGAACGTAGCGGAAAGCACCGAAAACATACTGGAAAACATTCGGGGACGTTCGATCCCGGATGCCCGAGGGGGACCGGATGCCCGAGGGAGAATTTCCTTATAGCTGGGAGAACATACGTGTACCAGAAAGTTAACCAGGTTCACCATAAATTTGGTCAACTGCCAGCGAAGACGCAGTACCCCACAGTGCTGACTCCCCACAGTGCTGACTCCCAGGTGTAGCGGTCCACGGAAGGTTTGGACGAGGACGCGAGCAGCACCGCGGCATGGTACCGACTCCCACGAAACGATAGCGCGCAGCGCCGGGTGCTTACTCCTAGATGCGCGGACCATGGGGACAGTGTATGCCGTTCCCCGGGTCGACAGACCTGGGCGGCAGCGCGCAAAGTGAGGGATGAGCACCAATTGCTGGCACCGTGCAGTTACTTCTGGTGGTACACGCCACCTCAATGAGAAAAAGAAATGAGGGAAGGCGGCGCCGTGCGCTCAATCCCAGGTGCGTGAGCACTACGGTCCGTCTAGACGCGCACGCGTGCCGACGGGCGCAACAGAGCCTATCCGGACGTGTAATGAATGCTTGAAACCGGCTCGAGCGAGAGCTTAGGTCTGGCCCAGAGTCTCGGACAAGAAATTTACATTTCTGTCCTTTTTTCGACTATCCGGCGCGCACAACGAACGAGAACCCAGACCAAAACGAATGCAAAGGAAATAGCACAGAAGAGGACGGAAACAAAACGAAAACGAAAACGACAACGAAAAAGGAGCTAGGCAACACACCGTATGGTCCATATCTACCGTTTTAGCCAACATAGTAGTCTTCTCAGGTCAAAGGACTATGACTGGAAGAGTCGATGTGCGAGGCGATTTCCGAGCCGCGTGCTGCACTACGGTCTAGACGCGCGCGAGCTGACCAGCCGACGGCTATAGTCAAAGTCGATTTGAGAGCCACCAAAGGTCAAGGCTCGGGATGAAGGCGTAGCCCTTTCAATTTCGATGGGCTGAACGGCAGCGATGCGAAAAAATAACGAGTATACGTGAGGAGGAGCACGAGAGAAAAGAACTTTATAATTACTTGCTCAGACGCGTGGACGGAAGCAGAAAGGGATGATGCCGATATGATGGCGCATATCACGGGACGTGTGGATCCTATCTAATCTAATCTACTTTGCCTACCACCTACTTAGCACGGCTCGCAAGCTCGCCTATGCTTGGCTCACATCATTGCAAGTCCTCTTGAATGATGTCGACCCGCCCGGGTTCGATTTCCTCTTAGTGCATCCGTTTTTGTTTTGTTTTGCGATTCTCCTGTTATTGGACGGAAAGTCACGATCTTTTCGAGAATGCACACATTCCAGAAATCCTCTCGCAAATACTCCAGCAAGAAGATTTCCCCCCAGAGCCCACATCATCTTTCTTAGTCTGTACCCGTAATTTAATCTCTGGAGTGTTCGCAAGGATGTCATGGTGTATGAGTCTTTTCGGCAGGGAATGGATGACGAGTACTACTACAGTTTGGCCTTAGCTTGCTCCATTGCCATCTGCTCCTTCAGAACACGCCTCAAAATTTTCCCGCTTGGATTCTTCGGAATGAGTGGAACAAGCACCACCCCACCTGCCAAATGTTTATACTTGATTTTATTGTCCGCAACAAGCTGAAAGGCGCAAAGAAAAGTTGATAAGCTCTCGCGTCCAAAGACCGAGTGATGCAAGTGTACCTTGGAAATAGAGGTTTTAATACGCTCTGGATCGGTTTTGGCCTTGCTCGCAGCAACCTCCGTCAAAACCACGAACGCTCGAGGGACCTCACCACCTGGTTTTGTAAGTATATATAGTTCGACCAGCGTGCGGTACG